AGACCTCCCAGAATCGGATTTTACACTTACTCATTTGTACAGCCCATTAGTGGCTTTGTATTCGGCCCAGTAGCGGTCCAGTTGTAAATGGGCCTCCCAAGCCCAAGGCTTGGTAGCCCAACCCTAATTTTCTCTATAAATACTCCCTTTGGGAGTAGTTATAGGGGTTACAAAATCATTCTATTGAAGCATATTATTGCACTTCTCTCTCTAGCTCTCACTTCTCTCTAGATATATTCTATCACAAGTAAACCCAAGAGAACGGGCAGTACCTATCCCGGCTGTTATAAGTCGTTCGGGGGTTAGATAATTCATGATGTCCATGCATTTATCCTTCTCCACAGCGAGCACGTCCTTGTAGATTTCTTCAGTCAGGACAGGATCAGGGGTCTTGCGGGGAAAAGCATTCCACTTGCGGGGAATCAGACCGTCCGGGATGGACACGAAGAAAAACCGGTCTTTCCACCCTTTGATCGAAGTTGGGTTTCCTTTGAACAGGATGTGTCCCGTTCGGGCACTAGTGGCCAGATAGCCATGGGTTTGTTGGGGGGCTACTTTGAAGAACTGGTGGAAGAGTTCTAAGGTTGGTCGGGCGCCGGCATCTTTGCAACGACAAATGAAACCCGCCATTGCTCGATAAGAGTTCGGCATAATCTGGGCCGGTACAATTTCGTAGAAATTGAAGAAAGAAATAAAGAAAGGGTGTAGCGGAAATCTAAGGCCGGCCCTAATTGAGTCAAAGTGGACTATGGTCATTCCGGGCCTATGACGCATCGGATGAAGCCCGGCTTGCAAACGGAAATCCACCGGGTCAGGGATAAGGGCCGGAATTTCGGCCCTATTGTGAGAAGTCAATTTTTGCCTCCTCTCCCTAATCAATTTTAGGTCAAGAGTATGGCGAGGAACATCGTTGGGACGTCCGGCCGCCATGGAGGCCAATTCGTCCTCAGACTTGGTGTCGTCAGAATCCTCACTGGAGGAAGAAGAAGTGCTAGGGAGGTCCTCCGCCTCAGCCCTGGTATTCGTCACCGTCTCGGTAGAAACACCGGCAAACGGAACTGGGATGGCATCTACCATGGCGGTGTCACGGTCATCCCCATGAGAGGCCATCTCCGAATCAGAAGAATGTTCTGTGGGGCTCATCTCGATCGAAGCCAGAAATGAAGATGGGGAATCCAAGGTTGGGAAGTTACCTGAGCAAGGGAAGCAGGGGGAAATTTGCAGAGAAAACAACGAAGGCCAAGGAATTGCAGAGTCGAAACCCGGAATTGAGGAATTAAGGGCTAATTTATAGCCTCGAAACCGCCGTGTCGAGAACCAATCAGAGAGCGACACATCACTAGGGGCATTTAAGCTAGACACGCGTCTAATGAAAAGACTAAACGACGGTTATCATGATGAATATGGGGAAATGAAGCGGCAGCCGTCAAATCGCAGCATGGGGAACTGATTACTTCTGTACCCCGATCGCCATTCGGGGTATTATGACATTGGTATACTTCCTGATGCACTCACTTCGTTCGAGACATCGGAAGTGGGGGACTTGTGTTGGGATATTGACCTAGAGGCCCAATACCCAGATCGGGAAGGCCCAAGACATCCGGCCCAAGTAACAGGCCCATCACTCCATGATGAAAAGGTCCAGTAAGGAGACATACCGAACGGGGTTCGGCCCAAATAAAGGTTGGCCCAATAAGAAAACATACCGAACGAGGTTCGGGCTATATATCATACTTGGGCCAATTTGACAGCATCTTCAGTACGGACCAACGTCCCGTTCGAACAACGGCCAACCAGCAAGTGGCCAGGTGCAGTTAATGCCAGACTATGACATCACCAAGTGGAAGCATGGATGACCAAGTCGGTGGAACAACGGCCAATCAGCAAGAGGCAGCCCATGCTCTCCATTAGTATAAATAGAAGGTTTCAAGTCATTGTAAGGGTTAGATTTTCGATACTCAAGCTCTAGAATAGCATCATTTGCTCTCATTTCTTGTATTAAAGCATAGTTTCCGACTTACTGATCGGGAAATCTTTTGTAATCAGATTGGTTAATTAATACAAGTGGGTTTTCGAGTTCTAGTTAATTCAGATTTTATATTTTCTCACACACTTTGATTCTGGGCCATTCCTGATATATCCAAAGTTCGTGTTGGGCTTTCGGATCTACGGGACTTACCCTCAACACTATTTTATGAAAATTTGCACTTTTAGTCCCTGAAATAGTCAACATATTGAAACGTCAGACTCGTGTTCCCTAGTTTGTAAATGTCACCCCTCAATTGTTCAAATTGTTGTAAATGTGGTCCTTTGAGGTGTGAAATGTACAATGTGGGAGAGGAGTACATTTCAGCCATCAAAGGACCACATTTACAACAGTTTAGAAATTTGAGGGGTGTCATTTACAATCTCAAAAATACGAGTCTGACATTTCAACATGGTAATTATTTAAGGGACTAAAAGTGCTATTTTCTCCTTCGGTTCTTATATATTTTTTATAGAACCGACCCATTCTTAACAATTCGGTTTTTGTCATTTAACGTTTTCTAGTTTTTGAAAAAATTCTTACAAATCACCGTTAAATTTGTGTCAAAACAACATTCAACGTTTAAAATTACAAGAAATACAAATACGTTTACCATCATTTTAAATCATAAAAATTGAGTTTAAAACATAAACACATACCAAACTGAAATTTTTTGTAAATAAAACAAAACAACATATTCACTACAATCAATAATTATGATTTTAAATCGGCAATGTAATTAGCCAACAAAAAGGTTCATTCATTTAGAGGGTCACGACTAAAGCACTCAATTGCAATCATCTAAGGCTCTAATAAGAGGTCCGAGAACATTAGAGTATCACGTTAAAATAAATAATAATGTTAAATAAATAAATAACTAAACTAAAATAGTAGTGTAATATAAAAATAAATAAGTAAATATACATTAAAATCTGTATACTAATGAGGAATTAAAAAAAATTTAAGTTATTATATATAACAGTTGCAAGTACACATTTTTTTCAGGAACTGGGAACTGAACCATTAATAAGAAACCAGAACCGAATCATTAACAGGTAACTAATAAATTAAATGATGGAACTAAACTGAATCGGGTCATATGGTTCAGTTCTCCAATTCTTGGTTCCAAAGTCCCAACCCTAATGTTAATTCTGCATTTTTACGTTTCTAATATTTTAATAATTGCTTAATTTACTACGGAGTAATAAGCTACTAGGCAAAAAAAACTAATAAGCTATATTTATAATAACTCAATATATTCATTCACTTTCTATTAGAATTCACAAATTATAAGAGATTTTGTCAATGATTAATGCAATGGAAATTACCCTAAATAGGACTAAAAACGTTTGTGTATTCTAAAATATGACTATCATATTTTTATTCCCAAAATATGATTAATGGTACTGCCATATTTTGACAGTACCAGACTTTAAATATGACAATATTTTCCAAACTTGTCAATAATTACTCCTATTTAGGGAATAAAAACATGACAATCCTATTTTGGAATTTTCAATCTTGTTTACTCCTATTTCAGGAATTTTCCCTTAATGTAACCAAACCCGCAACAAAGCACGGAGTCCTAAAGAAGTAGGAGCTAGGAGGGAATGAGGGATGTACCGGTGAGAAAAAAAAAACAATCATTCTTATCGTAACCACTCTTATATTCACCTTATAACCACCATGCTCGTGAAGATTTTTTGTCTCTCAATATGGTTCATAGACAAAATATGTTTTTTTTATCTGTGCAAAATTTGCTGAGATAAAATAAGATTCACCTATAACATAAAAGTGAGTACAAATATCTTGCAAGGGTCATGCTTGGTGTACTCAAGATGTACATAAAATGTGTACATTGCCTGTGTATACAGACAATTGATTATCAAATTATGTCCCTTTCTAAATGAATTAACTGTGTACACAGATAACTAGGGGGTTTTGTGTACAGTTTGTGTACAACTCAGTTACACTAACCATTTTCCATCTTGCAATCTTGTCCAAATGAAAAATGCTAGAAGTACAAACACACTTACAAAAAAACTTACAAACAAGTGATGTGGCTATTCTAATCAGGGGCGGACCCACCCTAGGGCTAGGGGGTGCCCGTGCCCCTGCAGTGATTTTTATTTATATATATATATATATTGGAAAATTCTCAAGTCCAGCACCTCCCGGTCCGAACACCGTCCGAACACCGCCGTTTGGGGCGGTTCCGGGTGGAATTTTTTGATGAAATTTTGTGAGCATGTTTCTCATCAAGTCTAGTTTATCCATTCCAAATTTCAGGTCAAAATTCGACCGGGAAGGCAGTCAAATAATTCGTTGAAGTTAACTGCGTTTTTATATGTATAATTTGACGCAGTTAACTTCAACGAATTATTTGACTTCCTTCCCGATCGAATTTTGAGCTGAAGTTTGGTATGGATAAACTAGACTTGATGAGGAACATGCTCAAAAAATTTCATCAAAATATTCCGCCGGGAACCGCCCCAAACACCGGTGTTCGGACGGCGTTCGGACAGAAAAGTGCTGGATAGAAAAGTTATGCCGATTGAGACTTATGATGTTAATATTAGAGATGAGTTGAGGAGACGTTATTTGAGAAAAGGTCCTTGCCAACTGCGTGACTTTAAATTTCCACAAAGTGATTTTAATGGGTGCAACAGATCATTCCAAAAACAGTGGTTTTATTTAAATTTTATAGTTTTGTTTATTGTTATACTCGTGATGCATATGACTTTTTTCTAGACTAGTATATCATTTCTTTGTTATTGTGCCCCTGCGAGTCACGAATCCTGGTTCCGCCACTGATTCTAATTACCATTGATGTAAAAGTGTTGTAAATGTGATGTGATGTGTTAAATAATGTGATGATGGCACATATCCCTTTTGTAAGACTTCTTGTAAAAGTTTTTGTATCTCTAGTATAACTCTGTCCAAATATATCTCTATCCATTTATAAATTTCAACATTGTATTTGTGTGCAAATCGTGCCTTTTGACTATAAAGGAGCGAGAGATGATTTCTCCAGTCAGCTACAAAGAACAACAACATCGCCATCTCTCTCTCTCTCTCCATTCTTAGATCAGATCACCTTTGTATACAAAGACCTCTTTCTGATCATCTGGAGTGAAGAAAAAGATTCTGCTTCAAAACTATATGGCTGGAATGTCATATTCAGGTCGAGAAGAATCAACGCCGAGCCTCCTCTCCCCTTACAAGATGGGAAGGTTCAACCTCTCCCACAGGTCAGTCAAATGACAGTGACGTTGACCATATTGTGGGTTGCGTTGACTGTGTACAGATACAAGATCTATCCGCATTTTATGGCATGAAAATTGTTTTCAAAAAATAAATAATAATAAATTTTGGTGGGTGCAGAGTGGTATTGGCACCATGTACAAGATGCAGAGCTTTAAACGGAATTCCTCAGCCGGCGATGGCGGAGTACTATTCACAGAGGGCTACCGCCGGTGGATTTCTCATCACTGAGGGAACCATGATTGACCCCACTTCGGCTGGGTAAATATGCCTTCAATTTTAGTTTCATCCTTTTATACTTCACCATGAATTGATGATGAGTATTTATTGCATCTTCCAATTTTTTTTTTGTTTTGTTTTCGTTGTGAATACTATGGATCTTGTTTGAAAATGGGTGGCCCATGTTTCTTTGTTTTGGAATTGATTGGATTATTGTCTATACAGAGAGCATACACTTGTACAGGCTTAGGATGTTTTTACTTGGACTGTATTTCGTCCCAGATCAGACAAGACCAGTTCAGACCAGACCAGACTTGGATAGTTATAAAAATACAAAGAAACCAGACCAGACCAGATTAGACAAGACCAGACCAGCAAATTAAAGTCCAAGTAAAAACATCCTTTCACACCCGTTTACACACCAAATTTATTTTATTTGTGCGTATACAAATGATTTTCATTTAGTAAAAACAACTGTGTGACTTCGAAAAAGTAAATTGAAAAACGGGCTCAAATAAGAACAAGGCTTATCGTGAGAACGTGAGAACACCACATTCTCCCGATCACGACTTCCTAACAAGAACCGCCGTCCGGCCGACGCGATTTAAGGTGGTTTCCGATGGAGTTTTTGATGAAATTTTGTGAACATGTTTTACATGAAATGTAAATTATGTCCACAAAGTTTCAATTTAAATTCGTCCGGAAAGTCATTTAAACAAATTATTGAAAAATACTACGCTAAAATTATTAAAGACTACATTCACTAAAATATATCGGTATAGGTCTCGAATAGCAGAAAATTATCAATCTAGGATCCAAATAATTGAAAATTATCAATATGGGACCTAAGTTGTCATAAATTTTGTTATTATTTTTATTTAAAATAAATAAATATTATTTAATTTTATTGAACTAATAAGGTTTTGTGAAGAAAAAATCATCAAATATTAGCAAGGAAATTAATAAAACATTAAATCAATCAAAACCTATAAAATGTTAGATCCTAGATTGATAGTTTTTCATCATTCAGATCGTGTATCGATACATTTCATCTTCGGCTCCCGGATTGATAATTCGTGTATCTCTCTAGTCCCGAATGGATAAAATTCATTAATTTATTTACCGGTTTAGGCAATCAAATATGCATTCCGCGTAACTAATGAGCATATATATGTAGATTGTTTCTAGATATTTGCTGAACGATAATCACACATAAATTAAAGTTATACACAATTATTCATGATTACAATGTTTCAAATTGATCAATTATGTCCTTATATTTAGGTTTTTGACACATATGACTTCAACTGGTAAACCATAATATAAGATTACTGAACTATTTACAATATAGATTTATTGGATATTTGATACGTAGTAATTGTTACATAGAATAAGTTTTTATTTTTGAAGAACGTTTTTTTGGAACATTCATCTAAACCTATTATAGTATATGCTCTGGTTAATGTCAAGATCCCTATGAAGCACGGATACTTCCCTAGGGTAGCGTATCAGCGTATCGGATACGTTCCCGTATCCGATACTCTAGGATACCCGTACCGTACGTTCCCGGGCCGTATCTGTAATTTTTAAAAGTTTCCATTTTTTTTGTAATTTTTTGAAAGTTTCCGATACTCGTATCTTGACGGATACCCGTATCATTGGCAGTTTTTTTTGGAAGATGATATTATTCCTGGAAATTAATACTTCCAGTGAAAATATGTATCAGATGTTAGAGCTTTTAAAATATTGTTTTCTGTCTTAATTATTCTAGAACTTTGGTACTTGCACTTTTAATTTCAAGATTGTAGTTGTTTGACTTATTTCTCATTTTAAATTAATGACTTATCGACTACATGTCTACATTTATATTTCGAGATGCACTAGTGTATATGAGAAATATTATGATGTATATGTAATGAATGAGTATATATCTATATATAGGCAAAAAAATTATTATTTTTTGTATATTTCATAGGATATTATATATATATTTCCAAAAAAATCTATTTTTAATATTTATATATACACCCCTGTAACTTTTAATATTTGTAAATACACTCCCATAACTTTTAATATTTAAAAATATGGCCCTGTATCCGTATCCTACTTTTTTTTGTTTTGCCGTATCCCTGTACTCGTGTCCGCGTTTCCGCGATTCCGCGTACCGGTATCGGTGCTACATAGCAAGATCCTTGATTGGGATGAGATTCGAACCTGCGACCTTCTCTTTGGGAGATAGTGATGCCATCAGACCACAAGCTACTTGGCTTTGATAGAACATATAATAAGTTAATTATAAATTGTATAAAAAAAGTTAGTTATAAATTGTATTATTATATTTATTTATTTCTGTTATAATAAATGTAGTCATTAATCTTTATTAACAAAAACACAAAGATTTTATTTAATTTAACGTGCTTAGCCAAGTTCGTTATGGGTGAACAATTTTTGTTGGTTTAAGGTTTCCTCATGTTCCTGGGATTTTCACAAAGGAGCAAGTGGAAGCATGGAAAAAGGTTGTTAATGCCGTCCATGCTAAGGGCGCCGTTCTCTTTTGTCAACTATGGCATGTTGGCCGTGCATCTCATCAGGGTAGGTAATCTTTACAGTTAGGTGGACATATTGGCAGGGGCGGACCCAGAAAAGTCATTTGGGGGGGGCGAAAATATTTTTTGGGGGGGTCAAAATACTTTTTGGAAGAGCAAAAATCATTTTTCGCATATATATACACTAATTTTTTTTTTGTTGGGGGGGCTACTACCGCCCCCTGGGTCTCTACTACGGTCCGCCCCTGCATATTGGCTTGGTTTAATCGAACCAAACCGTATCAAACTGAACTTACCCGAATCGGAACCGGATCATATGTTATTTGGTTTGAGTTTGGTAGTATCTCTTCCAAACCGTATTAAACCGAACCAAACTCAAACCGATAATAACGGAAGAAAGCCGAACCGAACTAAAGAAATTCAATAAAACCGAACCAAACTTTAGGCATGGTGAGAATGTCTTGGCATATCAAAGCAGAGTCAGTAATTTGGTTGATTTAGCCCCATTGCATCTAATGTGGTGAGTTTGAACTGAAATTGGTCAGTTTATCAACCTGGTGGATGTGCCCCTATTTCTTCCACAAAGAGAGGAATATCAAAGAGATGGAAGATACTTATGCCAGACGGAAGCTATGGGATCTATCCCGAACCACGGGTGTTGGGGATTGAGGATATTGCACAAATTGTGGACTTTTATCGTGTTGCAGCTCTCAACGCCATTGAAGCAGGTTTTGTTGATGTTCCATTTACCATTGGAAACTAGAGCATCACTTTTATTGCCAGAATTAACTCATCTTATTCTTCAAAAATATAATGTGTGCAGGCTTTGATGGCGTTGAAATCCACGGAGCTCACGGCTATCTCATTGATCAGTTCCTTAAAGACGGGATCAATGACCGTGGGGATGAGTATGGTGGGTCCCTTACAAACCGCTGCAAGTTCATAACCGAAGTGGTTCGAGCGGTTGCCAATGCTGTGGGCCCCGACCGCCTAGGCGTAAGAATCTCGCCCGCAATCGATCACCTAGACGCCACGGATTCGAACCCGCTCAACCTCGGCCTGGCTGTGGTCGAGAGGCTGAATCAAGTACAGATAGACATAGGAACCAAACTGGCCTACCTCCACGTCACGCAACCGCGTTACGTGGCCTACGGGCAGACAGAATCGGGCAGGTCTGGCAGCGAAGAGGAGGGGGAGAAACTGATGCGTAGTTTGCGGGACGCTTATCGTGGAACTTTCATAGGCAGCGGGGGATACACGAGACGGCTCGGGAATGAGGCTGTGAGTCGCGGGGAGGCGGACTTGGTGTCATATGGAAGGCTATTCATCGCAAACCCAGACTTGGTGTTGAGGTTCAAGGTTGATGCACCGCTGAATAAGTATGACAGGAAAACATTCTATACTCAGGATCCTGTTGTGGGTTATACGGATTACCCTTTCCTTGACCAAGAAAGTGGGAGTAGCAAACCCATCTCTTCTCGTCTGTAGTTTTTTTCTTCTTTAAATGAATTTTAGGGCATGATTGAATGTGGCTTGTTTTGGATACAAAACAAAGCTGATAGCCAAATTTGATAAACATAAATATATAATTCCTTAGTTTGGAATGTATAGACCATCAAAGCAGTTGATAAACATGTAAACCTAGTACTTCCAAAAAAACTTTGCCATCTTTCCTTTTTGGGACGTCCCAAAAAACTTTGTCACTTTCCCTTTTAATCAATTATTTTGTGTTCTCTTTTATTTCTCTCCTCTGCACAAACCTCAATCACACAATTTTTACTTTATTATTCTCCGTGCCGGTCAATTTTGGCAAAATTTTAAGGGACGGAAGTAGGGATGGATTCGGGCCGGGCCTAGGCCCGGTCGTGCTGCCGGTTCAAGAATAGTGGGCCCGGGACCGGCCCGAGGGTTGGACGGGTCCGGTTCGGGCCGGGCCACCCGCCCGGGTCACGGGTCGGGCCGGGCCGGTTAAATATTTTTTTTTTAATTTATATTTTATACTTTGTAGTTTTATACAAGTATTAAAAAACAAACTTCAAGTGCATTTATTTCAAATGAAATAGGAACTACATTTGAAAATTAAATAGGAACTATAATTGTTTTTAATCGGAATCTCCGGCATAGGTAGAGCCACCCTCTGTTGTAGATTCATCCATAAAGTGTTGGGATGGAGTAATGTCAATTTCTTGAGCTCTACGTGCTGCTTTCAACCAATCGTGGTAGCATATAAGCATCTCAAGAGATTCAACGCTCAACCTCGTTCTGGTTTGTGTTAGAACATTGCCGGCCGAACTAAATTCTTGTTCCACGGCAACCGTTGAAACCGGCATTGATAGCACTTGCTTAGCCATCTTTGCTAAAACCGGGAACATTCTTTCTTTTCCCTTCCACCAGTTTAGTACGTCAAAATCATCATCTTCTTCAAAATCAACATCATAAGTTAAATACAAAGAAATCTCATTAATTGTGCTTTGTTGTGTAGCGGGAGTTGATTTTGTTTTTTAATAAGATTGGCAAACGTAGATTTGAAAATTGATTTTCCTTTAGATGATGTTTGTGTCGGAGGAGGGGGCGCATTGCCATATTGTGCATGAAACTCATTGAATAATGCATAAAATATATCACTAACCTCGTTGTATTCTTTTTTCGGATCAATTGGGTTGTCCTCATACATTGGCAATGGACCAAAAAAAGCAGCATAATAATTCAAACATTCTTCTAAAGAACCAAGTCTAAAACGAGGATCGAGAACAAATGCAATGCCATAAATATGAGGAATATGTGAATAATATTTTAAAAACTTTTCCTTCATAAAACCAGCAAAATAACTCACATAATCAGCATTCTCAAAATTTGAAAAAGCACCGGCGAGATTAACAGCTTCACGAATAAATTGGTTTGAGGTAGGTTTATAAACATGACTAAAAGTTTCAGTTGCATTATTAAAATATATCAAAGCATTACAAATTTTTTCACAGGTGTCGATCTCAGCCGAGTTTATAATATAGTTATCATATTGTTTGGGATGAGGCTGCTTGGTCGGCGTCATGGCTGCCGCCACCCTCCTCCTCCTCGTCGTCGTGGCTCTCCGGAACTGCTTCCTCCACATCGTCGTCCTCGTCCTCGAGCTCTTCTTCGTCAATGGTCCACGGTTGGTCTTGAAAAAAGCGGGAATTATGTCGGTGCAATTCTTGTTCTAGTTGTTCGTCGGTCATCGCATCCCCATCCCTCCTTACGTAACCCGTATCAAAATCATCTCGACTTTGAGATGAAGAGCCGATATGTGATTTACCTTTGCGGGATCTCTTCCTCGCAAGCTCTTTCGTTCGGTTGCGCTCGAGGTTACCCATATCAACCGAATATCTAGGACGATCCATCTAAAAAATGTAGCAATTAATAAAAAATTGTAAAAAACTAATTAACTATTTATCTAACTATTAATTCGAGTTATAGCAAATTAAGTAGTGAATTAACTAGTTTTGTGTAAAACATATTTTTTAAACTAGAGTCAAATGTAGCAATTAATAAAAAATTGTAAAAAACTAATTAACTATTTATCTAACTATTAATTCAAGTTATAGCAAATTAAGTAGTGAATTAACTAGTTTTGTGTAAAACATATTTTTTAAACTAGAGTCAAATGTAGCAATTAATAAAAAATTGTAAAAAACTAATTAACTATTTATCTAACTATTAATTCGAGTTATAGCAAATTAAGTAGTGAATTAACTAGTTTTGTGTACAACATATTTTTTAAACTAGAGTCAAATGTAGCAATTAATAAAAAATTGTAAAAAACTAATTAACTATTTATCTAACTATTAAACAAGAGTCAAATGTAGCAAATTAACTAGTAATTAAACAAGTGTAAATAATAGAATAATTTCGTACCTCTTTCGGACTTTCGGTCTTTCGGATGGGAGTAATAGAATGACTTCAAATTAATTGGATATAATTCCAACTATATTAATAGATATAATAAATATATAAGTAATATATAATTAGATAACAAATATAAGTAATATAATACTATTTATATCTATTTATAGTTTATATAAGTAGATAATTAATATAAACTATAAATAATAAATATAATATATTGGAGAATGGAGAATAAGAGAATTAGAGAGTAGAGAGTTAAGAATAGGATTTAGGAAGAATTGGAGAAGAGATATGAAAAAATGTTTAAGATTAGGAGTATTTATAGGTTTTTTTACCCCCCCCGGACCCCCCCTTTACCCCACCCAACGGCTATATAGCCGTTTGGGTTGTCCCCACCCCCACCCCCAACGGCTAGTAGCCCAAACCAATTTTTTTTTAAATTAGACCCGGACCCGGGCCCGACCCGGCCGGGCCGGGTCACAATAATCCAGCACCGAGCCCGCCCCGCCCCTTCCCACCGGTTCGGGTCCATACCCGGTCCCGGACCGCCCGACCAGGCCGGTCCCGGGCCCGCACAGTACCGGGTCGGGCCGGGTCACGGGCCGGGTGGCCCGAACCGAATCCATCCCTAGACGGAGGTAGTATTTCAAAAAAAAACATGTAAACGTAGAAATAATGATATGAATATGTGAATTACCTGCACGGGTAGCTCAATTGGTCCGATGGTGGGAAATTTGGACCAAGTGACCAAGGTTCGAAACCCACAGCGGCTGTGTGGAGGTTACAGCTCCTGCGTGTTGGGCTGGACCTCTGGTGCGCACGGGTATAAGACCTACCATCATTGGGCCGACTGAGTCACCGTGATTAACAACCTCCCAAAATCCTGTCGGGTCGGGGTATGGGGCCTCCTGGGGTGGGAGATTCCACTTTTTTAGACCAAATGATATGAATATATGGAGGTCGTATGCATTTATGATTTAACTAATATGATTTTTAAATATTTAGGTAAATTTTAGAACAAATTTTCAAATTACATTTACTACTTTGTTATCTTTGCTTACTATTATAAGAGTTGGTCTTCCTTTTCGATGTATAAAAAAAAATCATAAGAACTGGTCTTAATAAAATTGCAACAACTCTTGGAAATAGGGGTGGTCCTGGTCCGGCAGTCCGATGGTCCAGCCGAATCGAGTCCGAAACTGTGTGGGACCGTACCGGGATCCGTGATTTGTTCAAGACTAGGTACCCGACTGGGTAAATGACGGACCTGGTCCCGGGTTCTAATATTTGGGACTGAACCTAGCGATTCTGATCCCGGTCCAGTCCTAGACCGGCCAATTTTTTTTTGTAAGCTTGAAACCGGTTAAATAAATAGGTCCCGGGTCCGGGACCGGGTCGACAAATAACAATGACATGAAGTAGCGCAATGAATGGCTAATTAGTCATGTTAAAAAAATTTAGTATTGAGTAATATTTTTGTTCATGATTTTAGTTTAGTAGTTTAGTACTATTTGTTGGGGAATATTATCCCGGCCTACTACTGTTCAGAGGCCCAAGTCATCACCCGGTATGAAGCCCGGTCAGCAAGGCCCATTTAGGCCTACCCGGCCCGTTTTCGGCCTAACCGGCCCGCTAGGATAGGAATTGGGCCCATTAAGGCCCAACCGGCCCGCTGGCCCATAAGAGTAAAACCCCACCCCCTTCTATAAATAGGAAGCATTGCTTCCATGTAAAGGGGACTTTTGGCCCTTCCCTCCTGGAAGTTAGGCTGCTCTCCTCCCTGCTACTATTCCTTAGATTAGATTGAGCTCATAAGCTCCATTAATGGATGTTTCCAACAATATGTATTATGTAAATTGGTGAGGAGAGTATATTAATGAAAGAGAGCGGGCTTGGACGTTAGCCTAAAAAGTCCCGTGGTTTTGTCCCTTTCCGGATTTCCACGTAAAAATAGCTAGTTTATACACTTTTATATTTCTTATTCACTTTTATACGGAATTTATGCTCCTTAATATCCGAAGTTATGTTGGGCTTTCGGATCTACGGGACTAAACTCCAACATTGGCGCCGTCTGTGAGAAAAATTCAAAAAGCTACATGTGTTCTTGATTCTACAAATTTTTTGATGCCAAAAGCTACTGATTTCAACAAGAAAATAAGGAATGGAGAAGAAACAATTCTAAGGAGAAGGAATTCCAGATCCAAATTAGAAGCTTGGTCATTGTTCAAATTGCTGCTGCCACATCCAACAAAAAAAATAATACGGAGCAATGGATGAGGTCGAAGTAGAAGGCCAAGAATGGTGGACATAAATCTACTGGAGAAGCAAGAAGATAGGAAGTGGGCCCCACTAGCTTAACTTAAGGAGGAAGAGTTTCTTTCTCTCACGTGGACTACCTGACTACATAATTGGTGATTTGACAGATAATTCTTATCCAGAGAAGCCAGCGCCGCCTCCCGAATGGAAGTTCCCCGAACGATGGCATCCGCAGGGAGTCCCGGGAGCCCACCAGTTCACCATCATTTGGAGGATTCTGGGAAGTTTCTAAAATGCCCGACCATTTTAGAAGACCTGCAGAAAAGGCCACACACTGATGCACATCAAACAAATAGAAAAGAGTAACAGACTTAACATAGCAGGTGCCCGAGCGGGAGTTTGTTGTTACTGCCGAAGCATGCTCTGTATCCAGGTATAATCGGAATCAGCGACGGGACCTACAGAGAGGTCTGGTCATATCCCGGAGATGGCAGACCAAATAGTTCAGAACGGTGGAATTACCTTTCCGGCCGGAACCGTGAATTAACATCATGAAAGAACGGTGTTGAGTGTTGACAGCCACATCCCTTGCCCGAACGGCCCGGACGACATTGGTATCATTGCAGCCCGGCGCTCAGACTTGAAACCCGTTCAACCCATGTTGACTACTTGAAAGCCATGTAGAAACCCATTTTGACCCTTGACCAAAGGCTTCCGAACCCGAACGAGAGTTTCGTTCGTGACCGGTGGCTGCCTCTGGGTTTGTTATTGACAGAGAAGTGAAAATGCCAACGAGAAGGGATGGTAAAAGCCCCTACTTCCGTTCGCGATAGAGTAGCCTCGTAAGGGAAGCTGCCTCAAAACAGAAAGATAGCCCGCCCAGGACATTGTAATGGCCTCAGTGACCCAGTATTAACGACCGGCCACCGAGGGACCAGATTTTGGCCGGATTGCTTCTTGCCGTGATTTCCATGACTCAATCATGAGCCCAGTAGGCCGCAAAAGTGAAAGAAGAGGAGCTGAGGATCCGCCGTCCGGGTTGTGCTGAGGATCCGCCGTCCGGGTTGTGCTGAGGATCCGCCGTCCGGGTTTTTCCATCCAGTCTGATCCCGATCGGTATCAACCGTTCCATGCTCCACCGTCCGGTATCCTCCTGTTACGGAAATCCAGTATGACGTGTTTGTGGGGAATACAAAAGGTCCGACCACAGATCATCTAACCTCCCTGCACATCGGCCCGCTCGCTTCGTATAGTCGCCGGTCTCACATCCGTCCAAATTCCAGCAGGCAGACAATGTCGCCGTTCGATCTATGTCGTCCGAGCCGGAGTGATAGATTCCGCTCGACCTTACCGTCCGAACCTGATTAGCGATCACTGCATGATCTGCCCCAACAAAAGGTCCTCCTCGTCCGACACATACTCGATCGGCACCTCTGCAGTTCATCGACGATTCTGGACTTGGCCTTTTGTGAAGAGCCACCAAGCGGAAGTTTCATTAAGAAGGTGCTCTGGAGATCTCAGTCAGGAGGGAAAGAAGATGTGCGGTGAATCACAAACTTAGCTATATCCACATTTGGGGTTGCCATATTAGCTATTGGGCTGGATCGGGGCACTGGCCAATTAAAATGTCCTGGCTACTATTTTGGCCTGGCAGCTGAAATTCAGCCTATTCGAGCTAAGTACCATCATCTTCTCTCTTGCTGATTTATTTTAAAAAAATGGTATTATTGCTATGTTTGATTGCCCCACTATTATTTAATAGGGATTAAAATATCCCGAGTTAAATGAAGAGGAGGGAAATTCCAATGGTAGATATTCACCGCCATTTTAAAATTAAATGATTGATTTTGGGTGGGCCTATCAGCCCGCCCCGATCGGCATAAAATGCCGGTACGTTAAAATATTAATGGCTTTATATAGCATTATTGTTATGGGTTGCATGTCACCATTATTTACTAGGGATTAAAATATCCCAATTTAAATAATGACCGAGCGAAACTCTGGTGATGACTTCACTTTCATTTTAATAAATGATTGGTTTTAGTAGGGCCTATCGGCCCATCCCGATCGGCTCAAATTAGCTGAATGAGAGTGTCTCGCAAAGGCGTTGCCCGATGACACATTTTAATTTAAAAAACCGTACATGGTTTCGCTCGGCACCAAGTGACCGAACGGCAACCATGCCCAATATGGGGTGAAGTACGTACTTTGATTAGTTCGGGCTATTTTGAAAAGAGCCCGGCAAACCACTAGGTGGTTCTGATAGCACCTGGGCAGTGCAAGAAATGAATCTAGGCCAAGGGTTATGATACCACTTCGGCCGGTAGTCATAGATATTACACATGTGTGCATATATATGCTTGTATATGTTGTTCGGTCGTACGGCCGTATTACTTTGCTTATTGTGCAGTGGAATCCGTTCGACATACTCGAGCTGGGAGATCCATGATTTTTGGCATGAAGTGCGGAGACGTTCATGACCGACAAAGAAAAGAAGAAATCACAATAAGGCAAAGCCGTTCGGTCAGCTCGAACAGGGAGATCACGAAACGCAGAGACGTTCGTGACTGGCAACGTGAAGAAAATACAAGCAGGCAAAGTCGTTCGGTCAGCTCGAACGGGGAGATCACGAAGCGCGGAGACGTTCGTGACTGGCATCATAAAGAGATTCAAGCAAAGTTGTTCGGTCAGCTCGAACGGGGAGATCACGAATTACAGAGACGTTCATGATTGAAAAAAAAGTCCTACGAGATATCGTTCGGAGCCGTTCGAGATTCAGAAATGAAGATCAAGATTCAGAAATGAAGTTCGAGATTCAGAAATGAAGATCGAGATTCAGAAATGAAGATCGAGATTCAGAAAAGGGGATCGAGATTCAGAAATGAAGATCGAGATTCAGAAATGAAGATCGAGATTCAGAAAAGGGGATAGAGAATTCAGAACAAGTATTGTCAAAACAAAACGACGTTCGGTAACATGGATTGTCGTCCGTAGAATCAGAATTTTCAGATACATGAGCCGAGTGATGTTCGGCAACACAGAAAATCTCAGCCCATGGGTAACACGCACTCATTCCGGATGACCGAATGACGAACGGGTTAACAACATGGATGGAAAATCATTCTCAGCTAAAAGAATTTGACCCTAGACTTGCGAACGGATAAAGGGATCAAAACGGCTTGGAGAATCGATGCTCAGAAAATCTCAGCCCATGGTTAACACGCACTCATTCCGGATGTCCGAATGACGAACGAGTTAACAACATGGAAGGAAAGTCATTCTCAGCTAATAGAATTTGACCCTGCAATCATAAAGGGATCAAAACGGCTTGGAGTTTGAAGCTCAGAGAGTCTCATCTCAGCGGTTAACATGGGAATCGTTCCGGACAACCGAATGAGGAACATGTTAGCAGTTTGGAGGGAGCCATTATCTCAGCTAACAGAATTTGACCCTGTAATTACGAATTGTTAAAGGGATCAAAACGGCTTGGAGTTTGATGTCAGGGAATCTCACCTCAGCTTTTAACACGCAGAATCATTCCGGATGACCGAATGAGGAACGAGTTAACAGTTTGGAGGGAGCTGAGCCATCGACTTAGCTAACTGAATTTGACCCTGTAATTACGACCGGACAAAGGGATCAAAACGGCTTGGAGATGGTGTCAAGGCTATAAGTATGGACGAACCGAGCGACGTTCGAATAAAGTACGGATTGTCGTCCGGGGAATCAGAACTATGGTTTTGAAAAATCTCGCCTCAGTCATTAACTTGATTTGGAAGCGAGTCGCCCTTTTAGCTATAAGTAAGGAATAACCCGATCCGGTGACCTTGCTTACAGTTTGAAAAGGCTTACCTCAGACCCCTAATATGGATGATACGAGCCAGAGAGAATTGTTCGGAATGCATCGGAATTATGGGTTTGGAAGAGAGAGAGTCTCACCTCAGCTTTTAACACGTGGGATCATTCTGGATGACCGAATGATGAACGTGTTAACAGTTTGGAGGGAGCCGTCATCTCAACTAATAGACTTTGACCCTGTGATCACGATCAAAACGGATTGGAGGGATTCACCTCAGCTAAAAGATTTTTTGACCCCGTGGATCACGAACGATAAAGGGATCAAAACGGCTTGGGAATGATGTCAGAATTATGAGTGTGGACGAACCCAAGTCGCGTCCGGTAACTCTAAAAACGAAGGAACTAAGAGTTCGGGTTTGAAAAATACAAAAAAAGCAATGAAGTAACAAGATTGGGGAAAGAATCGAGTTTTATTCTTCAAACACTACTCGCCGGAAAGTACAAAAGAAATCAAGAGTAATACAACTTGGGAAAGAGATCATGCTACTGAATGATCCCTGATCGGGGAAGATAAAGACTGAAAACCGCAAGCTTGCGCCAGATCATCAGAAACTGCTTTCTGTCTTTAGTATGGGTGGTCTGGATCATCGGAACTATGGGATTGGAGGATGGCCAGTCGAGTCGAGTCCATGTTTGTCGAATCGAGTCGAGTCGAGTCCATGTTAGTCGAGTCGAGTCGAGTCAAATCCATGTTTGTCAAGTCGAGTTGAGTCGAGTCCATGTTTGTCCAGGTCAAGTCGAGTCGAGTCAGGTCCATTCCTTTCGACTATGGCAATGTAAGGACCATGGCAATGACCATGGCATCGTAAGTCCATATCACAGCAAGGACCATTTTTGACCATTTTTTATGCAGCACGAACGGGCTCCACAGCACCGTCGTGCCTGACTCTCGGTCGGGCTCGTCCATCCTTGATATAGGATGACCACCGCTTTTATGCAGCACGAACGGGCTCCACAGCACCGTCATGCCTGAATCTCGGTCGGGCTCGTCCATCCTTGATCTGGGATGACGACCGCCGATTTTTTATGCAGCACGAACGGGCTCCACAGCACCGTCGTGCCTGAATCTCGGTCGGGCTCGTCTATCCTTGATCTGGGATGACGACCGCCGCTTTTTTTTATGCAGCACGAACGGGCTCCACAATACCGTCGTGCCTGAATCTCGGTCGGACTCGTCCATCCTTGATCTGGGATGACGACCGCCGCTTTTTTTATGCAGCACGAACGGGCTCCACAGCACCATCGTGCCTGACTCTCGGTCAGGCTCGCCCATCCTTGATCTAGGATGACCACCGCTTTAGTGCAGCACGAACGGGCTCCACAGCACCGTCGTGCCTGAATCTCGGTCGGGCTCGTCCATCCTTGATCTGGGATGACGACCACCGCTTTTTTATGCAGCACGAACGGGCTCCACAGTACCGTCGTGCCTGACTCTCGGTCGGGCTCGTCCATCCTTGATCTAGGATGACCACCGCTTTTATGCAGCACGAACGGGCGCCACAGCACCGTCATGCCTGACTCTCGGTCGGGCTCGTCCATCCTTGATCTAGGATGACCACCGCTTTTATGCAGCACGAACGGGCTCCACAGCACCGTCGTGCCTGAATCTCGATCGGGCTCGTCCATCCTTGATCTGGGATGACGACCGCCGCTTTTTTATGCACCACGAACGGGCTCCACAGCACCGTCGCGCCTGACTCTCGGTCGGGCTCGTCCATCCTTGATCTGGGATGACGACTGCCGCTTTTTTATGCAGCACGAACAGGCTCCACAGCACCGTCGTGCCTGACTCTCGGTCGGGCTCGTCCATCCTTGATCTAGGATGACGACCGCCGTTTTTTATGCAGCACGAGCGGCTTGCTCTACAGTGCCGTCATGCCTAGTACGGGATTGCACCTCATTTATGGATTATGCATGCCTTGCACCCAAGATTATTCAAAGACTGATTGAGGGATGGCAGAAAAGGGCGCGAGCAAGAGTATACTTTCTCGAGTAGATTTGCAAGCTCACTACTCAAGAAACTGGGGGACTTGTGTTGGGGAATATTATCTCGGCCTACTACTGTTCAGAGGCTCAAGTCATCACCCGATATGAAGCCCGGTCAGCAAGGCCCATTTAGGCCTACCCGGCCCATTTTCTGCCTAACCGGCCCGCTAGGATAGGAATTGGGCCCATTAAGGCCCAACCGGCCCGCTGGCCCATAAGAGTAAAACCCCACCCCCTTCTATAAATAGGAAGCATTGCTTCCATGTAAAGGGGACTTTTGGCCCTTCCCTCCTGGAAGTTAGGCTGCTCTCCTCCCTGTTACTATTCCTTAGATTAGATTGAGCTCATAAGCTCCAATAATGGAGGTTTCCAACAATATGTATTATGTAAATCGGTGATGAGAGTATATTAATGAAAAAGAGCGGGCTTGGACGTTAGCCTAAAAAGTCCCGTGGTTTTCTCCCTTTCCGGGTTTCCACGTAAAAATAGCTAGTTTATACACTTTTATATTTATTATTCACTTTTATACGGAATTTATGCTCCTTAATATCCGAAGTTATGTTGGGCTTTCGGATCACGGGAGACTAAACTCCAACACTATTGTAGGAGAAATCGTACTAAACCTGTTATGTAATAATAGAAGAAATCCTATTATGTGACACTCCAAAAATTTAAAT